ACCTTCTCCAATTGCTTCATATCTTTTGATGAGTTGTGCTAGCCATAAAACAAGAGGATTCAGTACCCAGGCCTTTCTAGTGCTAAACAGAGCAGAGGGATTGCTCCAAGAGCTTTACACCTAATGTTTCTGTATATATATCCCACAGAGCCACCTTTTTTCACCATTGCATAACATGTCTGTTCCCCACACAATTTACAATCATCTGCTTCGTTCCCATACCTGCTTCTGCAAAGCTGCTACGTATATATTTGGTTTCTAACCTGTTTACATGGTCTTAGTAGTTCCTGCCTAAGTGAAGAAACTTAAAAGTTGTTTCATGGACTGAATCATTTTTTTCAGAGTACTTCTGATCTTTCATTCTTTCTCTGAAATCACATAACTCAGAAAAGTCATTATTCCTAAGCCAACTGTCACTTAAAGAGCTAGGTTGAACAATGCAAGAAATTCACTTCTCTCACAGTTGCTGACTGCATTCCTTCTCCTGCTCTCTCCATTCGTTTTTTCTTCCTTCCCCCTATGAGGCTGCGATTGATTTCAGCATGTTACCAAGTCTTCAGTTTAAGCACTCTTACCTAGCACAGAGTTGTAACTTTCACTAGTTGAAAATGGCCAGAGCCTTGAACTTTATTTTTTCCTTAAAAGAAAAGATTTTCCCTTAGGTCAGTAAATGATTAATGTATGTGACCTGTTCAGAGAGCAGCAGAGAATGAGTATAAAGACCTTCTCCTCTTAGACAAATATTGCAGTGTTATCCTGGTATTTCGCACCAAAAAACAACAACAACAACAACCCATACCACCACCACCAAAAAATCTTTTTTACTGGCATTACCTTTAGCACTCCAATTACAGCTGGTGGGTAGCTCAAGCCAACCATATTTGATGTCCGTCTGTACATTCTACCAAGATAAAATAGTAAATACATTTTTTTAAAAAAGGCAACAGACTTTTCAAGAGATCTCATTTATCCAAGCAAGCCCTGACGGTAGTCCTTTTTTGCTTCCTAACTTGCATATATATCTTCTACATGACTGTTACTCTATGGCCTAACTGGAGACCATAGACTTCCTAGTATCTCATAACTTGGTCACCTCAGAAGACTTCAGTGAGCATCTGCCAGTATCAAATCTTCAAGAGGAAAAGGCTACACTCAAGTAAACAAGATGTTCCCAGTTCTCCATTGCTGTTCTTTCAGTTCCCTTTGTCCTTGCTGGTCCAGCATGCAAGATCATTCTAAATGCAGCTCGGAAAACATTTATTGTTTGCAATGAATCAGCTCCTGTTTGATACAGCTGTTACTTTTGTCTGCATTTTTTAAGATTGGCTTAAAACATTCTGTGTATCTATCTTCCAGAATACGGCAACAATCAACATCTACAACCATATTAAACATAGCACTGAGGTATGTATTAGATTTTTAACATGGTTTCAGGCTAAACCACATTTAATAGGCTTGGATGAATAGAGGGACACTGAGACAGTTGAACTGCCTTTCCACAATTCATCCTTTTTTTTTTCTTTTTTCTTTTTTGTTTCTTTTTTTTTTAAAAAAAAAACTAGAATTAAAAGGAGATGGTGGAAAGCTGAGTTTTGTGGGGTTTTTGCATCTAAACTGAACTCTCCCTTCACTTTCTAATGTTCCGCACTCCAACCTGAAAACAAATCAGCCACCTTAGCAGAGTTTATTTAACCTCTCCTAGCCATGAATAAGAAATTCTTACCCCTTCCTCCCTCATTTACTCCTCTTAAGAACCCAATAGCTTTCTAACAAGTGATGATTCAGTGTCTGTCCCCTAAATCAGGGGAACTATTACTCTCCTCTTGAGCCATACTATTTCCAAACATTTCCTCCTTTGGGTCACACTCATCCAGGTCAGCTGGAAAACAGCCTCCTTCAACTGTCTTCTCTGCAGTTCACTCATGTCCTTGTTGAGCAAGTCTTTCTCCTGCACATGTACATATGTATCCCTCCCCATCACAATGAGATGGCAGGCTTTTAATAATCCAACATTTGAAGAGATGATAACACTTTCAATAAATTTTTGAAAGACCTATTCAAAAATGTCAATTATAAACTTAAAAAAAAATGAATATTCTATTACAAAACCGATTTGAAATGTTGGATTTTTTTCCCACAAACATAGAATTTATTTAGGACCAACCATGTAAGTCAGTTATTTATCTACAGAATGTGAAACATATAAGTTACAGTCTCCGTTAGAGTCTGATGGAAGAACAGTATCAGATAATCAAAAAAAAAGTCAATCAAAAAAAAAAAACTGTCTAAATTGACTACACTGCTGTTCTCAAAAATGTATCAAGAGTGAGGGGTAACTCACGAGAAGCCTGTCAAATTTGGGAGAAATGTGATCAAAGGAGAAATGACAGCTGACAATTCCCTCTTGGCCTTACCAAAATTCGCTGCCACTTTTAACATATGTATAATAGCTTCCCGACTTTTCTGGTACACAGTTTAAAAATCACCTCTAAGCACACAGGACGAAGCTTCTGAGTTTCTCGGTGATTTAAGGCCCAGTGTTTGATACACGCTTCAGTCCACAAGACCGGGTAGGCTGTCAGTGAGATTCCGATAAGCAGTGTTGCTAACCTACCATGACTGCCATGAATACTTCCTTTTGAAAGTAACTATGCAGAGCAAGGCTCTTTGCAAACGGCAGCAGGAGCTCTATGAAAAGAGCTCTGCAGTGGTCTGAAATTCCCGCCCAGCACTTCCATTTGTGAATTCAGATTCATGGCTGAGATACAAGGGACGTGCTGGCTCATGCACTGTCTATTTTCACATGTGCGAGGCCACCTTCCAGCATAAAGGGAGGAATGGCTTACTTGAGAAGAAAAGGTAAGACAGGAAGGAAATTCAAATTCAAATAACTAAACCTTTTTCAAGGGTTCAGAAAGTAAATTAGTTTTAGAAGAAAGTTCTGATGCAAACCATGACGAAGAAAGCTGAAAGGGTTTAAAATCTTTTTAAAATCCTCTGAGTTCCAAACTTCACATCAGACTTGGTTCATAAGTGCATTATATAAGCCATGTGTTACTACATGATACCAGATCTTCTTTTCTTATCAACTCTTCACAAGAAATACTAGACAATGGAGGTAAACAGCACCAGAGCCTGCTCTGTTTTTTAAACTGATTGGTTTATAAACTTTCATTCCTGAAAAAGGCCTACGCGAAGGGATACATGATCTGTCAAAATGATTCCTGCAGTGTTGTTACAATTGTATTATGCTACGGAAAGATCAATGCGTGCTACCTCAGGTTGCATTCTATTATCTAATTCCAGATTTCCAGGAGTTATTCATCTCTATGGATAAACAGAAATACCTTTAGAAGCACATAATTTATTCTTCACCCAATGCAGCAGGTACAATCCACAGTACCTGGATAGCTACCAGAACAAAGTAATTCCATGATTCTTTACCTTTCCACAAATATCCCAGCTTGTACTGCATGGACAATACTCCTGAACCGGGGTTTTTCCTCAGTCCTTTTGAGCATCATCCCCATTTGCCGCGTGAAGGTAGAAGCCAGCCAGTCCCGGACCTCAGAGGGCACCGAGTCTGACTGGATGTCACTGAGCTCATCTTCTGTGTCCAGTAAACGCCTAGAAGGGGAAGGAAAAGGATAAAAGGTAAATAGAGGACCCCCCTAGGAGACGACTGCAATATCATTAACAAGAAAGAAATCGGCAATATATTTTAATTAAAGCAGTTCTTAAAAATCTTGTGTTTATAAGCTCTAATATAAGCCTTTTTTATTTTTTAAACAGTCCTCAGCAGTTTGTTTATTCTCATGTATAGTTGAATGCCAGATTATGAAACTCACTACTAGCTTGATAAAGCAGTGTTAGCCTTCCGAAACACACCTACTTAACCATCACTGATTTTCACCTTCAACTTGGCAATACTCATGACTTTTCTGCCTTTCAGAGCTCATTGACGGCTATGCCAACTTCCCAATGGGTATCACTAAGTCCCTTCGTTTCACACATGGGTGAGAAACTCGTTTCAGACGACTCTACAAGTGTACTTAATGTTAGCAAAATGGCACAAAACAGATGGGAGAACTCCTCTGTAACATCATCCCAGTCTACTTCTACCATGATCTGGAGTAAAAAAAAAAAAATCTGAAACTCAAAGAATTGATGCAAGTGAAAAGATTTGAGACTGTTGAAAAGGAATAAAGGGATAGGAATTTGGAATTTTGCAGAAAAGGGCCTAATTGAAGTCCTTTCTCTAAGAGAGTATACAAATTTATGATTGCTTTAGGTCTTTACCCCTTCAAGAATCTTAAAGAAGCTTTTTGATTAAGAACTGAAGATCTGATCTTCACAGACCACAGTATTTTAAACATACTGTCTATAAGTAATAAATCTTGGCTAAAATAACTTTACTTACTGACATGAATATTATTTTATCATGTGGTAGTAGATATGGACAGAGTGCTGATATCTTTTTTAACTTACCTAGTTTCATCAATGTATACTGATTCAAGAACGGTAGCAGCATATTCCAAATTTTTCTTTAGGTCTACAACTGAAGCCTCCCCTCTCTCTAACTGCTTTACCAAAGACCGCAACCTAGAAGAGAAAATAAGAATCTGATTAGCATAAAGGGGAAACAGATTTAAGAATGAGTGTCACCTCAAAACTGAATCCAATATGAGGCCTAGCATGCATGATGAGCAAGTGTAATCTTCTGGAAGGTCTTTAAACCTTTGCAATAAGCAAGGTATCAACAAGTATTATTTTCCGTACATCTGCCTCAGTGATCCCAGACAAAACAGCACATTATATTTAGGCTCAGATAAGTGAGATATGAATGTCACCTTGTCATATTAAGCTAATTTAAAATAAAAACAACTTAGCACAAGAGCTGAGCTGGCTTTTTCGTTACAGCCGTAAGAAAGGATGCAACTTCTTCAGGAGCATCTGTTTGCAATTGTCAGTCATTTACTCTAGAACTGCAGACCAGTTGGGGCCAGAAGGGACCTCTGGAGATTATCTGGTCCAATTCACCTGCTCAAGAGAGCCACCTTGAGCAGTTTGCCCAGTCAGATTGGAGTATCTCCATGGATGGAGACTCCACAGCCTCTCTGGGCAACCTGTTCCAGTGTTCAACTGCAAACACAGTGAAGAAGTTTGTTCTTGTTTTTTAGTGGAATTTCCTGTCTTTCAGTTAAGGTCCAGCACCTCTCACCCTGTCTCTAAGCACCGCTGAAAAGAGTCTGCCTCAATCTTCTTTACATCCTCCCCTCAGATACACATACCGGCTAAGAACCCCTGAGCTTTCCCTCATCCATGTTGAACAACGCCAGCTCTCTCAGGTTCTGCTCAAATGACATGCTCCTGTCCTTTAATCACCGCTGTTGTCCTCGGCTATGGATCTCTGGTCTAGAGACCAAGCTAACCTTTTCCATAAAATAATTCAAAACAAGAGCCCAATACGAGTACCCTAAATTGTCTCCCTGTGCTCTGCTTATTAACTGTGGAGTTATGGAGTTAATGGAGTCCAGTGCAGGGCATTCGAACATGCTATCGGATTTTTCTCCAGCCCTGAGACCCAACTCAGGGAAGCCATAGACTAATGCAAGCCCTCTGGAAGAGCAAATATGCTGAGGACAACTCAAGGTGCCTTGGTACTTGCACACTGCACCATCAGCTGTGCCCATAACTCATTTCATTTTATGAGCAGAGCTAGGAAGGGCGCTCCTCAACTTTTCAGATCAAGTCCAGCCTCAAGCAATACATGTGTGGGGTTAATCAAACTTCTGCAAGAGTCAAACCACTGCCCTCTCCTCATCCATTCCCAGCTCCACCTGACAACATGAGAAAAGGAAGAGGCAGAAACAGAACAACTTTTGTAACAAAACAGTGAGCAATGGCCTCCTCCTTCCTTCTTTCCATGTGCAGCTCCTTAACTATTTACCAAAAACACATCTGTACATAAGCCAGAGGACTTAATCTGACAGGATGTACATTATTATTATTATTATTATTAGCCTTTTCCTGGCTTTCCTTTCATTGAGTCAGTACCTACCAGATCTATTCTACAAGTCATTCAAAATTCATATTCAATAATAGCACAATGAGTAACTGTTGTTTCATGGCATCAACATTCATCATCGAAGATCATGCAGAGTACTGCATGAATCAATCATCTGGCAAAACAGAAGTACATTTGTTATAATAAAACCTTGTCACACGATCAGCTGCTCTTGTGTGACCAAAAAAAAAAAAAAAAAAAAACATTGTCTTTCTTGTATCATCCATTAACTATAACTATTTGTGATTCATTGAGTCATGGCAGCTGCTGCCAGTTACCTTTACTAAACAAGAGCCTGCTGATGGTTTCTCTTTAACAAACAGCATGCACTTCTATTTGGTGGAAACAGTCTTAAAATGCAATCATAAACTTAAGGCTAAGATGTCCCACTGAAGGGAATCCAGGCAAATTTATTAGCTGAAAAATGCAATTTTAAGGTGCTTGAAGTAATTCACAAAAGCAGTAAAATTCACCAAGCCATTCTGAGTGAAATAAAACAGTATAACAATCTCTTTCAAGATGCATCTGTTTTAGGACCTTCTATTAAAGCAATGGAAAGAGAGGGCAAGATTCTGACTTCTCTTTGTAGTAAAGGGCCTAGTCATTACAGCAAAGGAGTACGGTTCAGTTATTTGTAGCATTTCATAGGACAATGCTCAGTCTTGTCAGGATACTGAGTAAAAGACAGATAATTATATTATTATCATAATTAGTTTTAAGAATTCTTTTTTTTTCTACTACAGCTCTCCAAAAAAACGAGATATTTTTATCCGTGTGAACAATACACCTTTTTATTCAACCAAAACATGCTCTGTAGCGATCCATTTTAAACAGTTTATTTTAGACTGATTCAAACATTTAGTTACAGTTGATTTCTTTTTTTCTTTCAATGTCGTAAGTAAAATGCTCATAGATCTACTTGGCCTGGTTCCCTTGTAGTCCATGGAGCTCACTGCAGAGGAAGCTGCCACTCACTGTGAATAACAAGGTCCCAGATCAGAAGGTTAAGTATTAACCATTCCCACTATTAAGCTGTCATAAAACCACGTGCCTCAAAACAGCCAGGCTGAAGACCAAAGTTTCTCAAATTACAATTGCCAGCAGAGTTCTTAGGAAGAATTGTCTGATCACACAATATTAGCTCTAAATCCAGTTGTTGAATTATATTAAGAGACAGCAGACATTTCCTTAGTGTGATATCCAAGGGGAGCAGTTCCTCTGGTCCGTAAATTCTCTCTGAATGTATATCAAATATTATGGAAAAAATAACTTTGTTATCCTTTGTTCTAGGCACAGCTATTTCATTTAAGACCTTTGAATAATCCTTTAAGTGTGCAAAAGAAAGGCCCAGTGCTGGGCACTGCTAAACATTTCTAATTTCCTCCAGCCCCACAGAGAGTTCAAGCAGGTGTAAGAACATGGAAAAGCAGCCAGGCCACTTCCAGAGAATGACCCCCACACACACTGCTTTTCCAAGGGAAATATCTATATACAGTCACTGTAAAAAGCACTGAGAAATGTACAAATAAACTCACTGAACTCAAATGAGGTGTACAGCAAGCAGATTTGGGCTTCTCTGAAGGGGAGAGGTTATCCAAAGTTCACACTCTTCCAAAGTCATGTTCCTACTCTGTTTAACGTTTCCCTGAAGTAAGAATTATGATACGTGAAATTCAGAGTGATAAAAAGCAAGAAGATTGGGCAAATGAGCTTAGCCCGTAAAAGTTATGTAGCGCTAAATCCCAAATCCACTCTAAACACAAACTGAGTAACAGGAAAACGTGAAGCTGTTTTCAGAGTATTCTTAAAACGTAAAATTCCTGAATAACTGCTCCAAGCACTCTACTCTCTGTTATAAATAAAACAGTATCTGTGTACAAATATTTATCTCCTTAGCTAGAGGGCTTGCTTTTATGCTGTTGCTTTTCTAAAAAAAAATAGCATTACATATCACTGCAGAGAAGATTAAAACCACCACAGTCTGGATACCAGTCAACTTCAATTAACATGCAAAGCACAAGTAGTGTCTGAATACTTGGGGCAAGTTTCTTGCACAAATATAAAGTCTGCAAAGCTGCATGGCTATTCCTCACATTTACTTTCAAACCTTTATGACTTTAATTTACCACAAATTTGCTTAGATTTTCTACAGTGCAGCTCAAACTTCTTCCTCCCAAATCATTCTTAGACCACTAGGGAAGGTTAAGAAAAATCTCACTTTGAATGCACATTAAAAATTACATGAAAGTGTGAATTTTCTCATATAATTACAGATGATAAATAAGGAAATTTCACCCATTTTGCTCTTTGATATTAACTGACTTGTGTTAGTTAACCCAAGCAAAGATCTATCACGCCTGCTTTAAAGATATATGTAGTGAGTATATATAAACAAAAAAAACCTTTTCATAACATGTGAAATCATTCCGTAATCACAGCTACACATAAGCAAAACAGAAATAGGCATTCCTTGAGTCTGATACCATTAAAAACACAGAAATTTCAGTACTGTGACAGAAATTGCCAAGGAGGTTAGCAATTCTTCAAAAATGAGAGTATCTCTTTTCGACTTTTTTTTTTTTTTAATGATAGAGTTGTTCCAGGTTTTACTGGTGTCATTCCAAGAACTTACGGTACAAGAAAGCTTTGCATAAAGAGCTGAATTTTATTGAGGTATGAGTAAAGCTTGTGCTCATAGTAACAAAGCACCAGCTTATTGAGTTCTCCTAGCTTCATCCTTCATCAGTGAATTGATTCTTGCCACCTCTTAGGTTGCTGGAGTTTTTTAACAGAACTTTAAAGCGCAAGTCAGAGCTCCTGTAAGCAGGCAGCATCTCAGTGTATTCAGTGTAAATCTGGCACCACATTCCACCTGAGCAAACAGATGGGGGTTCCTTGTAAATGTGAAGGATGTCACAACACATTCTGTAAGAAAGTGGGGTTGTTCTTGTGGCCTCTGCCTATTCTTGTGATGCAACTTTGTGCTGTTCAGGCGTTCCCTTCAACCTCAAATGTAACTGTGCTTCAATGTAATCGGGTATATTTGCAAAATCTGCTGCAACAGCATACTGGATAGCAATGCTAGCTACTACTATCCATAAAAGAAATCACTACTAATAATGTTGTCATCACTAATGCTTATACAGGACTGCTGCTTTTCCTCAAAATATACGTTACCATTAACCTCGGTACAGGGCATTCTATTCCTATTCTATTCTATTCTATTCTACTCTACTCTAAGTCCTGTTCATGACAGAGGATTGTGAGCAAAAACTGGCATGCGGTGAGATTGACTTTAGTTACAACAAGGACCTTCAAGACTTTCCTCCGGACAACAGGGCTGCCATTACAATTAGATGCTAGCGGGGAACACTTTCGTTTTCAGCAGATCCCTGTCACTGACTCGGGAAGCAAGAGTCGGAGGCACCTTCCCCCTGCAGTGTGTGTGGCTTTTGTTAGTCAGATTACCTCTATATAATGAAAACCCTTAAGATTGATTTCAGAGGCAAGTCATCTGTGATAACAGTCTTTTGAT